CATCCAAACCAACAAAATCTACCAAAGGTTATTTTGGCAGGTGGGGAAAGGAAAGCTCTTCATTCAAAAGGCCGAACCCTTGAGGCCTCAGCAGGAATTTGGCATACATTTGAATTTTTTAAAAATGGTTTTAAAACACAGCTGAGGGGACATTGTTAGGCTAAGGACGGCCTCCATCAAAAGATCACTTTATTTAGCATTTGAAGCTCATTAATATTAATACCTTATCTCTGACAAGATCGATTCTGCTTAACACTTTTTCATTCCCAAAGGAAAATATGGGTTTAACCACTTGGGTTACAGTACATGTCATTTCTCCATTGTGCTGGGTGAAATTATAATAGCAGGTCATTCTGCTTGGCCTGTGCATTGTTGACAACTAAAGATGGGAGCGTTTTACATGGTCAGTCGTATGAGAAAGCACAAAAAAATCCTCAAGACTCACTCACACCACGTTAAAACACACAGAAGTGGAAGAATTCCTGCAGAAAAACATCTTTTTCACGATATTTACTCATCGAGTGCAATTTGTTATAGGCTTTCCCCTTCAGGGTCACTAAGATATGATGATGAGGGAGAAAAAGAACAAAGGGGCAAACCATTCCCAGGAGCCAAAGCAGAGATCAATGATGCAAATCTATGATTTTAGAGAGAAAGGTTAGTAAGAAATGATGAGCTGAGTTAGACTTTTCAGCCTTAAAATTAGATATTCCTGAGGGGGCCTTATTGAAATATATAAAATTGTTAACTGTATAGTACTAACAAGGCCACCAGACAGAAGCGTATTTGATGAACCGAGGTGGCAGGCATATGCTGTAATCTTTAATGGTTCTTATTCCCCATAGTTATTGCAAAAAAAATCAATTAGGAAAGAATATTTTTTCCCTTGTTATCACATTGAATATAATTTCATTCATTTTTAAAACCTTCCCCAGAATACTCTTGTGACTGCAACTTACTCACTGATCTTCGATATCATGTAGCAGAAGTCTTGGTGTTTGATTATGAAGTTTTGGTCCACAAGGAACTCAGTTCTGTGTGTGATTAAAATATCATTTCACCATATCTGTTTGGGCCTGTAAAGAAGTGCAGAGGACAACTTATATAAATATATTGATATTCCCTGCTTTAAAGTATTATTAAAAACAGAAGGAGGTTTTCAATACACCACCGTACCAAATACCATGAGACAACACATAAGTTTATGGAAAATGATCTTACACATTGTAACAGGATTGATTTTATGAGTGGGCAACTGTGCAGCAGTAATTTTCATACATGTCAACATTTGCAAAAGTGGAAGATAAACAAATTATGGGACTGGATGCCATGCACAACCATGCAGATATTAACTACAAAACATGTAGCATATTTTGTACACATATAAATATAATGTCAACACTGAAATAGTTGCAACTTAGCCCCTTGTTATTTGAGATATGCTTAGCCTCTACAGTAGAGGTTGTATGACAAACCAGGCTTACAAACAAAACCATCATGATGTAAAGGCAAGCTGTGCACACAACTAGCCACGTATAGATGGTGCATACACACATCAAGTGCTTCAAAGCAGTAATTTGGTTTGCATTTTCTCATCCTCAACTCAACAAAGGTTTTTGCATCCTGAGAGAATCAAGAGCCTTGGCTGGTCCGATTACCATCAGTGCTGCTCTACCAACAGCCAAGAGGAGACAGACTTTCAACAGGTGAATCGAACAGGGACATATCTTTCTTTGAGTTGAAAAAGCCATCTACAGTTTGTACAAAATAATGTTGATTTGTCTCCAGTAACTTTGACTGACAAACTTAGTACTTGAAACAACAACTCTTTTGCTCCAGACACTGCTAACCTCAGCATAAATAGGCCAAACAAATATACTTCCTTGATTTTCATCATCAATGCCTCATTATGTCTTTAGCCAACAGGTATATTTACTGTGAAGTGAAACAAGCCACCACATCAGGGTTTTCCCCTCTCCAGAGAGGGAATCTCCAACAGGTGGCCTGCTTAGAACTGCTTTCACTCATAAGAGTTTCAGCAGCATGCAAAAGAGCAAGAGTCAATTAAGAACCTTTTATGACAAAGAAGGGCATTAGGGCAAGTACAGGGAATTTAAGAATCATTATTTGGTAACCCGAATTATTCATAAATCTGGACTAAACATAAGAGGAGATCCATTTCCCGCAGCTCGAGCCGCAGAGCATGCAACCTCACCGGAACCACTCCCCTCCACCAGTCAGACACGTTCTCACTTGTACTTGGCCAATTGCCAGCGACTTCTCTGGAGAGCGAGAGGAGTGAGGAGAGGATGACAGCGATGTTTATGTTGTAGTGCAGAATGTAGTGATTTGGGACTCTGCATTTATCCAGACTCAGATTAATTTTTTTTATATGAATGATCACTAGGAAAATTATTCAATAAACCAAATTAATCGTTTCTATATTCCTATATTAGGCGAGCAAGTGATTTGGGATTGCTAAATTCTATTCAATGAACCAAACTATCAATTATCCAATGTTTAATTAACTGAATTTCACTGTATAAAATTAAATTAAAGAAAATAATCCTTGTACTGTCGTAGATGGTCACAGAAAAAAACAAGCTTCTGTTTACATATCCTGCACAATGGCTTGATATGGAAAAGGGAGTTGGTTAATAACCAGAAAATAGGTTAAGTAATAATAATCCTGGCAATTGATAAAGCGCCCTCGAGATATCTCAAAGCACTTCACAAAATATACTGTAAAGTGAATTTACCCTATATTTTGTGGGCGAAAGTAGGCTATTAACAAAGGCCTGAAACCCAGACTCATCTCCTCAGTCAGAAAGTAACACATGGAGAGTACTAACAAGGTATAGCAGATACTAAAGAACTGTTTTACCTCTTCCTTACCCGAAAGCAATGATGACCTGATAAATAGCTCCATAGGGAAACAGACTAACACATTATCCTTTTTCCCCCCCACGTTCAACCCATATGTGAAGCGTTGGTGGTCCTCTCAAGCAAGATGGAAATCACGGCCAAAACCTAACCAGTCACTTTAACCAAAACAAGCGTTTTGCAGGTAATCACTTTCAAGACTAGTGGTAGGTTTTCTGGGCAAAAAGTCAGTACTCTGGTTAACAATTATTACTAAAGCGCACTGTGACATTATAAGATGCGGCTACAATTAAGAAATTTCTTTATACCCATTAGAAATCAAGGGCAGGACATGTTGCCACGTTCCCCACCCTTCAAAAAAAAAGCATGGAAGCAAAATTACACCCATTTGTTTTTAAAAAAAAGTTACCTTTTCTCTCAGAAAATGCTTTATTTGCGACCAAGAAAAATACAACGAAGGTTTTTTTTCCCCCCCTGCGGTCACCTTTTCCACGTCAAACCGCCCCCCCCCCCTCACCACCCACCCCAACTGATCTTAAGCCTCATCCAAAGGGGCGCAGGGAAAAGGCAGGACTGACAGGAATGCTCTCGAAAGGGACGACCCCGTCGGTCCCGACGCGGTGGGCTTAAACGATATCAATCCTCGCGTTCGGTATCGCACCGTTCACGTCGGGAGTCCTGTAGCTCAGTGGTTAGAGCACTCGCTTTGCAAGTGAGAGACCTGAGTTCAATTCCAGGCAGAGGGCGAAACCTTGGGCAAGTTTCCTTACTCCACACAGAGCCTAATAATAATCCCTCCAAAAAAAACCAAAAACAATAATTAAATTGGTCATTTTCAATCTACGACTGTTTGTGGGACATTGCTGTGCGCAATTGGCTGCCGCGTTCGCCCACAAATATACAGTCAATTCACTTTACAGTGTGTTCTGTGAAGCGCTTTGGGACGTCCTCCTGACGTGAAAAGCGCTATATCAAATGCAAGGATTATTATTATTATTATTATTATCTCGGAGCACTTCACGGGAACGCAGCGCGAAGGGGACAGCGACCGTATTTTGAGGGCAGACGGCCCTTCTACGGCTCTCCTCCGGTTGGCGTCAAGGGCGGCGGCCCGTTGACGGAGAACGGTAGTACGGGGAAGCTTTTGATCAAAAACAGTCACAGTAGCAATAGTGACGATAATAAATCCTTGCATTTGATAAGAGCGCTTCTCAGCGTCTCCTAAGCCGCCTCGAGGGGCTTCATGAGCGTCACACACACACACACACACACACAAAAAGGACAGAGAGAAACTTCCCGACCCCACCCCGAGCACAATCTGGTTCGTTCAGTGAAGTGACCCCGCATTTCAGACCTCAAGTCATAGGTTAATGGCGGCGGGTGTCGAGGGTTTCCACCGCCGACCCCACTTGGCGCCTCCAACCGACTCTCACGCGCTGCTCCTCCCTCCCTCCTCGAGGGGGCGCCGGTTGAGTGCCCGCGCATGCGCCGAGTGGGCAGGGCGACCCGGCCCAGCGCGAGCCGGAGACTCCGCCTCCTCCTCCCTCCCTCCCTCCCTTCCTCGCGCGACAGCAGCCTTTTCCTCGCCCCGGCTCCAGCGCAACCGAACGTGTTAGGCGGAAGGGCGCGCGGCGCGCTCTTGATCGGCACCGCCCGCGAACCAATGACAAGCAGAAATGCGGCCGACGGGCGGCGCTGGTGCCCAATGGCGGGGCGAGGAGTGGGGGGCGGGCTCTGACCCGCGGGGTGGGCGGGAAGAGCGAGAGCGGCCAGCAGGTTCGGTCGCGCCGCAGCAGGTGAGGCTCGTCTTGTCTGTCTGTCTGTCTCTCTCTCTCTCGCGCCGCTGAGCGTGAGAGAAAACCTCCGCGTCGGATGAATTAACGTGTAATTCGTTTTATTTAATCACGTCGACACGTTTCGGGCGGACTTAATTTTTTTTTAAACCACACACACACACGCACACACATATATATATATATATATTTTTAAAATTTTTTTTAAAAAAAGAGAGGAAAAAAGTGGTTTTTTTTTAAATGTTAACAGTATCACCGTTTCCCTTCGTCGTTCGTCGAGAAAATAAGCTTCTTACCCCCCCTCCCTCCCTCCTTCCTCCCTCTCCTCCTCCTCTCCTCCTCCTCTCCCCCCTCGAGACTGGCGGTTGGTGGATGAACGAGGTAAGGCGGTTGGGGTTGTTGACTCTCTTTGAGTGTGAGAAGTCCCCCCCCCCACACACACACACTCACACACTGGGTGGGAGAGAAGGAGTTTTTTTTATATATATCTGTTTACCCCCCATCCTCACCTCCCTCCCTTCTCTCGTCTGTTTGTTTCGTTTCAATGTTTAAAGCCCTATCTATCTATCTATCTATCGGTCTGTCTGTCTGTGTTGCTGCTGCTGCCATGTCTGAGGCACAGAGCAGCTTGTGGGCCTCAGACCAGCCTCAGACACACACCACACACTCACTCACTCTCTCTCTCTCTCTCACTTCACACTGTACACCCCCCCCCCCCCCCCCGGCCTCCAGGGAGAAACGAGGGGGAGAGGCGTAGCGACACTCCCCCCCCCCCCCACCACCACCACTACCACCTCACCTCTGACCCTCTTTGCCAACACTCTTCCCCATGAAATTGTTCGCTCAGCCCCGTCAGCTTCGGTTTCAGGGTTGCATTTTCCTCCCTCCTCCCTCCCTCCCTCATTCAAACGTATAATATGCGGAGTGCTCAATGCAATCTTAAAACAATCTGCCTACTGTGTTAAAATATCTAATCGTGTCTTGAGAGGGTGACGTGGGGTGGGGAGGGTGTTTCAGTGCTGGTGGGTGGGTGACACAATTTGCAGTCACGATTAAGTATTTAGATGTCTAATGTTTTTTTCCCCATTAATGTAACAACACCCAAGTGCTTAATACAGTCTTAACATTTTGTGTGTGTGCATATCTATATAATATACACACACGCACATACGTGTATAAAAGCCTATACAGTGTTTAACTATCTTGAAAAAAAATGTTTCAGTTCAGGGGTAGGTGTAGACACAGTTAGCAGACCAGATGAAATCGTTATTTCTTTAAAATGTTTGTTCTATTACCCTGCTCACGCCTTTAATTTTGCATTCTGCTTTGGCCATTTCCCAATGCTGAGAGCTTTTTCTATTTTTGAGAGGCTCGCCAGGGAGTCACCTTAAAAATTTTCGCCCAATTAGTTTTGATCTAAGTAAGTTTGATTGCATAAGTTGTGTAAATATTGACTACAGTTGAGGGCTCGAATGGTTAAAATTGTTGGGTTCCAGCTGCAGTGATTTTGATAAAATTGTTCAACTGGAGAGTTAATGGTAAGAAATGTGTCTTCGAGCAGAAAGCCAAGGACATGCCAGATCGAGCAGTCATTCACATCTGTCCCCTTTGGGAGGTAGACAGTTTATTTCTCAAGTTTAGAAAGTGTAGTTAATGTTTTCATTCTATCTTCCTGTTTTAAATTTAGCCCATAAAACGTTTACACCTGTTTTGCACAGATGGAGCATTAGAAGCATCCCTAAAAAGAAAGCAATGTTTAGAGCCAGAATTGAACAAATTCAAACAGCCTCTGTTACTTAAAGTGGGGTTTCTCATGCTCACTAATGTCAATAACACAATTTGTCTGATACAATTTAGCAGGCGATTGGAACACTATTTTTGAGTACTTGTCCAAAGGTCCATGGGCATGTAAAATGATAAATCATTAATTGGGATTGCATTATGTAAGAGAGTGTTGGAATTATATCCTAATTTGCAAGCATTGTATACTTAGTTGTGTACACACAGTTTTTAAATACTGTATTCCTTTCATAATATCTAACCCATGCTTTGACCCTTATGATGTTGCATTGGAATTATCACATAACTATGGAATAATAGCTACCTGGAAGTGCATTGCAAAGTGGTGCTCAAATTCTGAACTTCAATTGTTGCTGATGAAGATTCCATAAAAATGAGTTCAATGCATTCAAGACTGATGTGTGAGAGTAGGCTTAGATATGAACGTTCATGTGGAGAAAAGCAGATTTGATGCTCTAAATTCGGTCTGTAAATTTGTTTGTGCACATCTGAACCTTAAAATTACATTGCAAACTCTTTCTTGCTCTTGTTTAATAACATTAAATGATGCATAACATCCCTCAGTAAGAAGGAAGCCTTTTCTGAGTTTTGATGCATTATGCAGAATATTTCTCTACTGAGGACTATGTCATAGAACAAAATCCTGCATATGCTAGTGATCATTTGTTGTATTGGTTACAATAAGTAGGTACTTGAAGTACAGTTGGGGATGTAATTTTTGGTCATGATTTACACTGACATTTTGGGTGGCTGGCCATGTAGAACAAGAATAATTTGGCAAATGAATTATGTTCAAGCAGAACTGAAATGAATTAAATCAGAGTGATATAAATCATCAAAGTAGATGTAATGGAGAAACTTAAGAGAGAGGGCTGAATTTAATATTTTCAGGTGGAAGTGACATCTACTTATCACTCAAAGGAGTGTTGAAACTGGAAGCACTTGGAGACATCTTCAGACATAAAACATACTGTATGAAATGCAAGAAATATTATAAGCAGAGAGGGCTGTGATTCGATTGCACAGTTCTGTCCTACAAAAGGACAGTTGTGCCCCAGTGTTTTCATGAACTCATTCCTAATTGAGTGTTTGAAAATGTATAGGTTTCACAGCCTGAATAATCTTTTATTGGAAACTTTGTCACATCGCATTACTCCTGTGATATAATTGGAGCAAAATACACTGTTAATGTTCCTGTGTTATAAATGTTTTCCCCTTGAATGTCTGAGCTGTAAAGGAACTGTCGGCACTTAAAAACTAGTTACTTATTGCTAGATGAAAATATTTGAATGGTGTGATGATTTCAATCTTTTAGAAAAACCTGGGTATTCATAAGTAAGAAAAATAAGCTTTGCGTTTGTCGTAGTACCTTATCGCGTCATTGAGATGTCTCAAACTGCTTCACGGGAATTTACTGTGAAGTTGCAGACAAATGCAGTAGCAATTTGCTCACAAAATTGTCCCCCAAACTGCAAACCAATTTTATATGAAGGATTGTTGGTCAGAGAAGAAACTCCCTTCTGTTTTCAAATAGTGCTATGGGACCTTTAATGTCTCAAAGATTCTGAATAGGCAGATGGGACGTTTGTTTAACATCTCATCCGAAGGATGGCATCTCCCGCAATGCAGCACTGTGTTGGAGTGTCAATCAGACTGATTTCTAATCTGGGACTTTGTAAAAGACTTGTAGTATTACTTGTTGAAATGTGAATTAGACTATAATAATAATAATCCTTGCATTTGATATAGCGCTTTTCACGTCTTCTAGACATCTCAAAGCGCTTCACAGAATATGCTATAAAGTGAATTGACTGTATATTTTGTGGGCGAAACTAGAAGGTGAATTATTTTTTGCCTCCTGGTCATTACTGGAACTGATTGTGAAATTGTTCTTGAATTAATTGTGTTGAGCTAGGAAAAACACAGGGTTAAGGGAATGTTTCATAATATCTAGACTTTCTTGCATGGAAAACAAATTTTTGACCTTTTGGTTATTGATTTGCTTTATGCTGCAGATTCAGCAAGAGATCCAGGCACCATGGTGCCACAATCTGACTATCATATTATTAGTGTACATACTCTACCATGCTTTCTCTTTGATTTATGAGAATGTCTTCAGTTTTATTATGGAAAATTTGTTTTAGTTATGTCAAAAGTTGGGTTGATTTGTTTGATTTGTTGATATGATATTATTTGAATTAACACACTTTTTTGTGAAAGTGCTTGAAGTACTGTATGCTAAGACAACTAGCCTTTTTTTGCATGCTCTACGTTTAACCTGGAATCTTATGTTCAATCCTCTAAATCTTGGCAAGGAAGCCTATGTAACACTCTGAAATGTGATTTAGCTTTGCATTTGTTTAGTGCCTTACACCTTGTTGAGGCACCTTGAAGGTGCCTCATTTTTACTGTAAAGAGCAGTGACTGTAAAGATCAAAGTATAGGCGGCAGAGATCAATGCACCAGCAGCCAATTTGCCCACAAACAACAACAAAGTGAATGACCAATATCAGTCTTTTGCTTTTTGTCTAAGCCTGTTTCAATAGCTGGATGTGCAAATCAACAGTTCTAAAATTACAGCACTAATTTTTAAGCAAGGATGTGTAATAACAACAACAGCCTGCATTTACATAGCACCCTTCACGCGGGGTAGCGTCCCGGAGTGCTCGACAGTGGCGGTATCTGACCGCCACTATCAAGTGAGGGGGAGATGTCCATAAGCACGATCACAAAGGAAGGTCTTTAGGCAGGATTTGAAAGTGGGGAAGGAGGGAGGGAGTTCGAGTTTCGGGGCCACTGATTGTAGAGTGGAGGGGATGAGGGACAAACTGGAGGCCGGAGCCAGCCGAGGTAGTGGAGTGGGGGGTACGCAAATCAGATAGGTAGGGAGGTGTGACGGCATGAAGGGATCTGAAAGCGAGTGAGAGGATCTTGAAATTGATCCATTCAGTAATTGGGAGCCAGTGGAGTGTGGCAAGGACTGGTGTGATGGGGGTACGGAGTTTTGTGCAGGTGACTATCCAGGCGGCAGAATTTTTAATTAGTTGAACTTTGTGTATGGTGCTGGGGAGACCAGCAAGGAGGGTATTGGAATAGTCCAGCTGGGAAGTGACAAAGGCGTGAACGAGGCCTTGGCTGCTTTGGTTGTGAGGTACAGACGGAGGTGGGCAATGTGTCGGAGTCGGAAAAAAGTGGTCCTGATCAGGGAATGTGTGGTAGGAAGGAAAGCTGGGGATCGAACCCGATGCCTAAGTGCATATGGGTTTGTGAGTATGGGAGAGCCCACGGAGGTTGAGGAGTTCAGACCCGCAGGAAAGAAGGTGTTGATGGGAGCCAGAGTATACTTCCGTCTTAATAATAATTATTCACAGTCAAGTCATTTTACAGTATATTCTGTGAAGTGCTTTGAGACATCTAGAAGACGTGAAAAGCGCTATATCAAATGCAAGGATTATTATTATAATCTTGGTGTGAGCCACTTGGGTTGGCTCAAAGTTGTGATAAGGCGCTATATCCAATGCAAGGATTATTATTATTACTACAGTATCTACATGGTTGATTGTTTTAATGTTATATCAAAT